ACCAACCCCAACATGGACATAATGCAGAGAGGGACAAAGACACAGTCCAGGCCTGACCATCCTGTGGTGTGCAGTAGAAGTGACCCCCTCCCCCACACCCAGGGATCATGTGGAATCACTTACGATATAAGGTGAATGTCCAGTTTCTCCTTCAGTCCTATCACCTCGCTTTGTGATTTGTATGGTGTAGGATCCTGTGTCCTTCTGGGTGACATTCTGGATCAGCAGGGATGCCATTGGAATATACTGTTTCTCGTCCACTGTATGCAGGCCCAGCTATAACTGTTTCAGTGTCTTTTACATATGAATGTAACGTAAAGGTGGAGTCCGTTTTTTTGCCCTTTGTCACCAGATGTACCAGTAAGATTCTGGGGCAAATTGTGGACAAGTAGAAGACATCCTTCCCCTCGGAAAACTTTGGTTGGCTGTGCTTCAATTCTGACTTGAGCAGTGGTGGGTGGGTTCCAGAAGATTAAAAGTGATGCCTAGGAGGTGGAGAGAGGCATCAGTCAATATTGACCTATGTATGGGGTGAAAACATTGGCCCTGTGTCCTGAGAAAATCTCTTCAATCATCAGCCTTGAAGATACACACACACATACAACACACACACACACCCCAGTAGGACAGTAGGACACACACATACACCTCTTTTGTGTGTGTGTGTTTTGTGTGTGTGTGTGTGTGGTGTGTGTGTGTCCTACTGTCCTACTGGGTGAGAGGTCAGCAGCGCATGACCCCCGTTCCTTCAACCTTCTGACCTTGGCATTTTTCTGTTTGGAACTCTTTCCCAGGGATCTTCACGGCCTCTCTTGCACACCACCCTCAGGTTTCTCACATCAGGGTTCTTAGACTTTTTTTCCTCCTTCCCTGGGTCTTCCCTTTCTGACCTTTTCCTTGCTCTACTCCCTCTGGAGCTCTTGTCAACACTTGACCTCACATTCTAGATCTCTTTGCATGTCTGTCTTCCTTCCCATGACAGCGTGAGCTCCATGGGACAGGGACTTTTGTGATCTTGTTGCCCCCCCAGTGCCTGGGACAGGCTGCAGACTTCTGTAGATGTGAGAGTTCCCAGGGCCCTCCATGCCTGGGTTGTTCTTTTATTCTTTCCCCAGTTGTTGAGGTTTTTGCTGAGGACAGTGTTTCATGCCCCACTTATATTTTCATTGAAGTGTCATCTGATAATAGTTATTATTGTCCATTTTTCAAACATGTGGTGTCCAGTGATGATTAACCACGGAAAACAGAACATTTGAGATTTCCTACCTCTTACCAATTCTGGTTCAATGTGATTTTCCTGTTTTGACCCATGTCCCTCTCTGGTGTATTTTCCCCTATCAGGCTCCACAGAGCCTTCTTTCTGTTCTTTTTTTTCTTTCTTCTTTTTTTTTTTTTTTGAGATGGAATCTTATACTGTCACCAGGCTGGCATGAGTGTCAAGATCTTGGCTCACTGCAACCTCTGCCTCCCAGGTTCATGCAAGTCTCTTGGCCTAAGCCTTCCAAGTAGCCTAGGATTACAGGAGTACACTACACAGCTGGTTAATTTTTGTAATTTTTCATAGAGGACAGGGCTGTCACACTGTGTTGACCAGACTGGGGTCTGACTCCTGACGTCAATGATCCCGCCCACCTCACCTCCAAAGTGCGGGCTTCTTTCTATCTAGAACCCCATGCCTCTCCAGGAACCTTCATCCAATCATTCTGCTTCCTCCTCCTGGTCTCTCCCAGGAAGTTCTCTCTCCTCACCCTTGAGTAACTTCTTCCAGGTGATGTGCAGTGTGCCGGGAGGCGCCTGAGAGGGGCCCCTTGCGCCTCGTGCTCTGCCTGCTTTTTCTCTGGAGATACCTGGGATCCAGCAACTTTCTGAGCCACGGCTGTCACTTGTGCTGTCCCTTCCTCCTGTCATGTGCTGAGCCTCTCCCGGTCAGGTAGCACTTCTCAGGATCATGGGCGGGGTCTGTGCCCAGGCACTTCTGCCTTCTTCTCTCCAGTCTCAGCTCCTTGTCCCTCCTTCTCTTTTCTTTTGTCTGTGTGTAGTCCCTGGGAATTGTGGAGGCCTTGTCGTTCAGCAGTTGATTCCTGCTCCAAAACGTCAACACATCACTTATGTACAGAAACACAAACACACACACAAAAGAACACCACAGTCCACACACATCCCTGTAGGTTGGGCAATGTCACAGTTCTGGGCTCCCCTCAGCGTCTGCCTGTCTCATGGGTTCTGGGTCAGGGTGCCCATCTCCACCTTTGCCTTTTTCCTCCCATCTGGCTCTCTTCCAGTGCAGGGGCTGAGTGCGATCCAGGTCCTGTCACAGGACACCCCATTGGTGCTGTGGGTGAGTTGTGGTGTTGCCTGTTGACAGGACCCTTCCTTTCTTCTAATTGTTTCTAGCTTCCCCCCCATCAGACTGTCCTTCTTGTGCAGCAAGTGTCTACAGGGTCTGGAGGCAGGAAAGGAATTCTGATCTGTTGTAGTTTGTCTCCTCTGTGTGTGTCCTGCACTAAATACCAAAACCCCAACATGGGACATAATGCAGAGAGGGACAAAGACACAGTCCAGGCCTGACCATCCTGTGTGTGCAAAGTAGAAGTGACCCCCTCCCCCAACACCCAGGGATCATGTGGAATCACTTACGATATAAGGTGAAATGTCCAGTTTCTCCTTCAGTCCTATCACCTCGCTTTGTGATTTGTATGGTGTAGGATCCTGTGTCCTTCTGGGTGACATTCTGGATCAGCAGGGATGCATTGGAATATACTGTTTCTCGTCCACTGTATGCAGGCCCAGCTATAACTGTTTCAGTGTCTTTTACATATGATGTAACGTAAAGGTGGAGGTCCGTTTTTTGCCCTTTGTACCAGATGTAGCCAGTAAGATTCTGGGGCAAATTGTGGACAAGTAGAAGAACATCGTTCCCCTCGGAAACTTTGGTTGGCTGTGCTTCAATTCTGACTTGAGCAGTGGTGGGTGGGTTCCAGAAGATTAAAAGTGATGCTAGGAGGTGGAGAGAGCATCAGTCAATATTGAGACCTATGTATGGGGGTGAAAACATTGGGCCCTGTGTCCTGAGAAAATCTCTTCAATCATCAGCCTTGAAGATACACACACACATACAAACACACACACACACCCCAGTAGGACAGTAGGACACACACATACACCTCTTTTGTGTGTGTGTGTGTTTGTGTGTGTGTGTGTGTGTGTGTGTGTGTGTCCTACTGTCCTACTGGGTGAAGGTCAGCAGCATGACCCCCGTTCCTTCAACCCTTCTGACCTTGGCATTTTTCTGTTTGGAATCCTCTTCCCCAGGGATCTTCACGGCTCCTTGCACACCACCCTCAGGTTCTGCTCACATCAGGGTATCTTAGACTTCTTTCCTGATACCTCCTTCAGAGACCCTGGGTCTTCCCTTTCTGACCTTTCCCTGCTCTACTCCCTCTGGAGCTCTTGTCAACACTTGACCTCACATTCTAGATCTCTTTGCATGTCTGTCTTCCTTCCCATGACAGCGTGAGCTCCATGAGGACAGGGACTTTTGTGATCTTGGTTGCACCCCAGTGCCTGGGACAGGCTGCAGACTTCTGTAGATGTGAGAGTTCCCAGGGCCCTCCATGCCTGGGTTGTTTCTTTTATTCTTTCCCCAGTTGTTGAGGTTTTTTGCTGAGGACAGTGTTTCATGCCCCACTTATATTTTCATTTGAAGTGTCATCTGATAATAGTTATTATTGTCATTTTTCAAAATGTGGTGTCCAGTGATGATTAACCAGGAAAACAGAACATTTGAGATTTTCCTACCTCTTACCAATTCTGGTTCAATGTGATTTTCCTGTTTTGACCCATGTCCCTCTCTGGTGTATTTTCCCCTATCCAGGCTCCAACAGAGCCTTCTTTTCTGTTTCTTGTTTTTTCTTTCTTCTTTTTTTTTTTTTTTTTGAGATGGAATCTTATACTGTCACCCAGGCTGGCATGAAGTGTCAAGATCTTGGCTCACTGCAACCTCTGCCTCCCAGGTTCATGCAAGTCTCTTGCCTAAGCCTTCCAAGTAGCTAGGATTACAGGAGTACACTACCACAGCTGGTTAATTTTTTGTATTTTTCATAGAGACAGGGCTTCACTGTGTTGACCAGACTGGTCTTGAACTCCTGACGTCATGATCCGCCCACCTCAGCCTCCCAAAGTGCGGGCTTCTTTTATTTCTTAGAACCCCATCCTCTCCAGGAAACCTCATCCAATCATTCTGCTTCCTCCTCCTGTCCTCTCCCAGGAAGTTCTCTCCTCACCTGTGAGTAGAAGCTTCTTCCAGGTGATGTGCAGTGTGCAGGGAGGCGCTGAGAGGGGCCCCATGGCCTGTGCTGCCTGCTTGTTCTCTCTGGAGATGAGCCTGGGATCCAGAAACTTTCTGAGCACGGCTGTCAGCTGTGCTGTCCTTCCTCCTTCTGTGCTGAGCCTCTTCCCGGGTCAGGAGCACTTCTCAGGATCATGGGCGGGGTCTGTGCCCAGGACACTTCTCTGTCCCTTCCCCTCTCAGTCCTGCCTCCTTGTCCCTCCTTCTCTTTTCCCTTTTGTCTGTGTGTCAGGTCCCTGGGAATTGTGGAGGCCTCTGTCTGTTTCAGCAGTGATTCTGTCACCAAACGTCAACACACACTATGTACAGAAACACAAACACACACACAAAAGAGACACACACAGTCACACACATACCCTGTAGGTTGGGCAAGCACAGTCCTGGGCCTCAGCCTCCTGCTGTCCCCATGGGTCTGGGTCGGGTGCACATTCACACCCTTTGCCTTCTTTCCTCCCCATCTGGCTCTCCCCTTCAGTGCAGGAGGCTGGAGCTGCACCAGGTCCCTGTCACAGGGACACCCCATTGTGCTGTGGGTGAGTTGTGTGTTGCCTGTTGACAGGGACCCTTCCTTTCTCTAATTGTGTCTAGCTTGGCTGCAGCTTCCAAGGATGGATATTCAGGACCTGGGTGTCCCAGAGGAAAGTGTCCTTCCTGGAGGTGTGCAGGGTGAATCTTTCATGTCTCTTGGGAGGAGAGGCCTGTGCTGGTTGCTCAGTGGGGGCTGTGAGTTCCATAGTCAAAGGACAGTTCTTAGTCACTCTATTGCTCCCTGGGGTCTGGTGGCTGAGCTGGGGCTCAGGGTTTCTTCTTTCTTCCTGACCATTTTTGGTGTCCTCTCGTCTCTGCCCATCTGAGTGTCCTGTAATTACCACACCTTCCCCATGGTGGTGCAGGAGGAAGTAGGGAGTTACCCAGGAACCCCGTGGAACATGGCTCGTTGAGACGCAGGAAGGGGAGCCTGGGACAGAGCAGGGGTTCAGAGCTGGAGAGATTCCTCCCAACTTACTCCGTGGTCATGATGGGCTCAGCCCTCCATGTGCTGACATACCCAGGAGTCTGTCCTGAGGGTTTTGACATAGCCAAGCTGCTCTCTGTAGAGAAGGAACAGGCAGTCGCCAGAGATCCTGTTTGGAGGGACGTTGCTCACCCCTGAGAGGGTGGCTGGGTGTGAGTTGTGTACTGGGAGCAAAGAGCAATAATACCTCCTTCTCCCAGCAGGGACACAGGAGAGGTCTGTCTTCCCAAGGGACAGCCGGGGGTAGGTGGCCACATCCTGGATGGCGCCTGTGCGTGACCATCACACGCGCTCTGAGCCCCCCGGGGGGCAGCGGGCAGACAGGTCACAGGGTGCCTGATTGATTCCCAGGGAGGCTGTGGGTCCTCAGGCAGCCGCTGTTCTGTAGCAGCGCTAGGCTTGGCCTGGGATGCCTCAGAGAACAGGACAGTTGGAGCACGGGCGGGCATTTAGGGAGCAGTGACAGAAAGAGTTGATGAGGATGGAGGGAGGTAATGAGGGGAAAGCCCCCAATGTGGCGTCACGTGCACCATCGCTGCCCTGGGAGATGTCTTTTTAGCTGATCCCAGGGAAGGAGCAGGTGTGTGGGGCAGGAGCCGCTGGCAGAGGGAGTGGTGTCAGGTTGGCGGCCGCCAGGTCAGGGAGGAGCTGACAGAGTCCGTGTTGGGAGCGTGGAGGGCCCTGAGGACTTGGGCCTTGGTGACCCTGGTGAGGGTGGACCCTTCTCCGCTTTGGGTTCTGCTGAGGGAGGTCGGCATCCCCTGGGAAGGCTCCAGGCTGGGAGTGCCTCTGCCGCCCCCTGGTGGACTGGAAGGGAAGTATGGGTGGCCGAAGTCCCAGGCCAGGCTGCGTGTTTTATTCCAGAAGGATCTGCACATTTCACATGAGGTCACCCATATGTTATTTTACAGCTCCATCACGTTCCAGCCCCGTGAGTCCCAGTCTCTGTGACTCTACGTTCACTGTTCTCCCGTTTTCACAATCGGATGTCCCAAAGGCAGATTTTTGTCACCTTCTGTGAGTTTGTGTTTCTAGGCGGCACTGTGTATGCCCTGGGGGTAGTGATGTCTGGGGCTGAGCACTGCACATGGGCTTTGGAGCAGAAGAAGGAGCAGCAGGGCGGGAGGATCAATGGAAGGGGAGCAGGGACTTACAGTTTCATGTTGCAGTTGTATCACTGTAGCCTCACATGCCATCCATAGCCTGACATCGAGGCTGCCCTATGGGACCTGTGCTGGTTGAGCCCCTGTTGGAGCTCTTGTTTTGGGACCTCTGGTTCTGCTGGGCACAGGAGCTTCTGAAGGGGTGGCCTACCCCTCCACACCTGTGGGCGTTTCTCGTTAGGTGGAACGAGAGACTTGAGAAAAGAAATGAGACACAGAGATGAAGTATAGAGAAGTATAGAGAAGTATAGATGAAGTATAGAGAAGAGATGAAGCCAGCCCAGGGGACTGGCACTCAGCATACAGAGGACCCGCGGTGGCACTGGTCTCTGAGTTCCCTCAGTATTTATTGATTATTATCTTTACCATCTTAGAAAAAGGGATGTAGCAGGATAATAGGATTATTGTAGGGAGAAGGTCAGCAGTAAGACGTGTGAATAAAGATCTCAGTGACAAAAGTTTAAGGAAAAGTTCTGTGCCTTGATATGCATATGTAAATATCTCCATAAACCTTTTTAGTGCATAAAGAGCAGCATTGCGCTAGCAAGGCCCCCCTTTCGCCCTAAGGCCGTTTTCGCCTTTCTCAGTAAACAGAGCATACAATCGGGTTTTACACCGAGATGTTCCATTGCCCAGGGATGGGCAGGAGACAGATGCTTTTCTCTATCTCAAGCGCCAACAAGGGCCAAGAGGCCTTCCTCCCTCTTAACACTAGTCTTCCTCAGCGCAGACCCTTCACGGGTGTCAGGCTAGGGGACGATCAGGTCTTTCTCTTCCCACGAAGCCATATTTCAGACTATCACATGGGAAGAAACCTTGGACAATACCTAGCTTTCCTAGGCAGAGGTTCCTGCAACCTTTGGCAGTGTACGTGTCCCTGGGTACTTGAGATTAAGAGAATGGTGATGACTTTTAACCAGCATACTGCCTTCAGGCACTTGTTTAACAAAGCACATCCTGCATAGCCCCAAATCCCTTAAACCTTGAGTCACCACAGCACATGTCTCTTGCAAGGACAAGGTTGGAGATAGGGTCACAGATTACAGCGTCTCAAATACAGAACAAAATGGAGTCTCTTATGTCTACTTCTTTCTATATAGACACAGTAACAGTCTGATCTTTCTTTTCCCCACAGCTTCTAGTTAACTTGATTGAAAAACTGATACGATTCATTGAAAACACTGGGTCAGATGATGTATTCATGGGCTTCAGCTGCCATAACAAACACCTTAGCCTGGGTGAATTAAATAATAGAAATTGATTTTTCACAGTTCTGTGAATAATTTGCTATTTTAATCACTTTAAAATGTGCACTCAAGTGGAATTAACTACATGCAGAGTGTTCAGTTACCATCACCACTATTTTTCCTAGAAAATTTTTATCATTTTAAACTGAAACTTTGTATCTTTTAAAAAATAATAACTCCCTGTATTTTCCACCCTAGACCTTGATCACCTCTACTCTGTCTCTATGAATTTGCCTATTCTTGATGTTTCATATAAATGGAATTATACATATATGTTATTTTGTTTCTGACATATTTCACTTAGCATAAGATTTCCAAAGTCCATGCATGTTTCAGCGGATATCAGAGCTTCATTCCTCTTTATGGCAGATTAACATTCAGTTGTATGTGTGACCACATTTGTTTATTCATGTGTTGATGAATACTTGGATTGTTTTCATATTTTATCTTTTGTGAGTAATGCTGCAATCAGCATTCCTATGTAAGTACCTGTTTGAGTCTTTGGGTACATATCCAGGAATGGATGCTGTTTCACATGAGAATTCTATGATTAGCTTCTTGAGGAACAGCACAGCTGTTTCTCCTGGTGGCTGTACCTTCTTATAACCTCACCAGCAGTGTATGAGGATTCCAAATTCTACATAATGCTTTCACTTGTTATTTAACATTTTAAAAGAATGTTAGCCATATTTGTAGGTGTAGTGTGGTATCTCATTGTGACATTGAATTTGTATTTTCCTAATAACTAGTGATGTTGAGTTTCTTTTCATGTCCCTCTTGATGATTTGCATATCTTCTTTGTAGAAATGTCTATTTGAGTCCTTTGCCCATTTATATAAATTGGGGGGTTTGTCTTTGTGTTATTGAGTTGTAGCTGTTCTTTATATATTCTGGGCATGAAACCATTGTCTGAGTGATTTGCAACTATTATGTCCCATTCTGGGTTTGCTCTTTTTATTTTCTTGATAATACTTTTGATGCATAAAAGGCTTACATCTTTAGCCCAATTTATCTATTTTTCCTTTTTGTTTCTCATGCATTTGAGTCATACCTGAGAATCCATGGCACATTTGAGGTCATTAAGTTTTACCCTTATATCTTTTTCTAAGATTTTTTATGGTTATAGAACTTATAATTAACTCACTGATCCATTTTTAGATAATTGCTTGATATGGTTGGAAGTATAGTTCTGTAAGTTTATTGTTTTGCGTATGGTTATCTAGTTCTTTCTGCACCGATATTTGAGAGGAGGATTGTTCCTCCATTAAATTATCTTAACACCCTTATGCAAGAGCAATGAACTATAAGGGTGAGGGTTTATTTCTGGACTCCCAATTCTATCCCTTTGGTTTCTATTTGTATTCTTATGCCAGCAGCTTCTGTTTTTAATAGTTGTAATGTTTTGTGAGATTTCAAAAAAGAAAGTTCAATTTCTGCAATTTATTTTGGCAAAATTGCTTTGACTTTTTCAAGGGTACTTTTTTGAAAAGCAAGGAGGCCAATGTTTTGCAATTGGGAAAGCGTTTTCTGTCTTCTTTCAGAGGAAAATTTTGTAGTCTAGAGATCTTTTCAGGAACTTTATCAAAGTAGGTAAATTATCACCACTTCCATTGCTGAGGTACTGTGTTAAAATGTGTGTTGCCTCCCGTTAGGAATTATGAGACCCTGGAAGCACTTGCCCATGTGGTGAGGGACAGTGAGCTTCTTAATGAGGGGCACAGAAGACATTGCTTTGGGACAAAATGTTGTCAAGGGAGTTGTGTGCATCTCTACTTTATTTTTTTGTACAGGTTACATCTCTGCTGGATATACTAGATATTGAAATCTTTGTTCCTTCTCTTGGTTCTGGGTTGGCTGACCTGTCAGCTGGAGCTGGAGGACATGCCTGACAGGAGAGTGACCCCCATGGGAAAGAGCAGGGCTCAGCAGAGTGAAAGCAGCTGGGACCCAGAGAAGCCAGGGAGGTCTGACTCTTAGAAGCCAAAGACCAGCAGGTGGGTGTCCTCAGGGGCAAATGGACTACACTGTTACCCATTGCAGTGGACTGGAAAAAGGTAAGAGGCTTTGGATATTCCATTTTCTCTCTCAGCTCTTCAGCAGGAGATCTGGGCCCTGAACTGATACTGTCCTGCATCAGGGTCAGGGTAGACAGGAATGACTGCATATCAGGCCTAAGTCCATGTCATCCTCTCAGACATTGCCACAGAAGATGGAGAATTTTGTTCAGAGGCCCAGCCTGGGCACATGGGAGGAACCACCTTATTAAAATTAATTTAAGAAAACAGTATGCTTGCTTTATTCTTCTCGAATAATTATTAATGTCATGTTTTACAATGTATCTCTTAAAGGAATGGTGAGAATCATCTACGTAAAGTATGTTTTAGGTGGTCTTTTCTGTAATTGCAGCTTTCACATGTTCTTAGAGAAATAGTTTTCTTTGGGAACACACAGGCAGTATCTCTGTGTTCACTTCTACTGGGAAATCTTTATGCAGGGTAGAGAGAGTCACATTTCCTAATGAGAGATGGAAAGCATCTGATTACCAGAAAAAGTGTCCAAATGCTGCTGGTATGATCATGGGGCTGCAGGTAGAGGTCAGTTCAAGGAGGTGTCAGGGAAAGTCATTTTGAGAGTCTTTTTTTTTTTTTTTTTTACAAAATCGTGGGCAGAAGCCACCAGCTGGACCCACCACATATTGGAATGCACAAGGGACATGAATAGAGCTCAGTAAATTTAGAATGAAATCCAAGAGTGGGCAAGAGGTTTGAGAGGTCGACAGGTGTGAGAGGTGAATGTGTGAATGGTGAGAATATTCAAAACATCCTCTTTCTCCATAATAAGAGAGCATTTAAGTCCCTGAGCCAGACAGTGTCCAGGCCAGGGGGAGCAGGATGTTGTCAGCTCTCCTGGCCAAAAGTGAGACTCCAGCAGTGTCCAGTTACTTGGTCCAGTTTGGGATTTATTCCTATTTTAAAAATGGCCCAACAGTATACAATTTTGAAAATATACAAAAATCCCTATGCTACCATTCATAGATAGCCAAGATAGCCCTAAGATAGTGAGAGAATCAGAATGGGGTTTGGGTTTATGTTGTGTATTTTTTCCTCCCAATATCTACAGAATTCCCTACATCCTACTTTTTAATGTAACCCAGTGGGTGTCATTCCCTTTCGTAGTTACAGACCTTTCCGGTTCACGGTTACAGACCCTTGGAAAACCCACACCCTTTCTGCTGTGAGGTACAGGCAGCCATGCGGCATCACCTCTAAACATGCCTTCTGGGACATCAAATTTCTGAATAAGTGAAAGTCATTTCAGTAGATATTGAAGACCTCCATTTTACCCCTCTCACACTTGTAATTCTTCTACCAAGAGGTGATGGATTTTAGTGGTGATTTGTTTTATAGATTAGTGAAGATTAATGCTTCTGCCAGGGGCAATTTTTTCATTGGGAAAAGCATTTGGCAAAGTCTGGAGACATTGCTAGTTGTCAGAGCTGGGGGAGGGAGTCCTGCTGGCCTTGAATGGGTAGAGTCCCCAGAGAGTACTGAACATTCTAGAGCTCACAGAGCCCCACCAGCATGACCACTACAAAGTTCAATGCTGAGGAGGAGTGGAGAGCCCTGATATGCCTCCCCTAGCTTCCCTGGAGGTTTTTACTTTCTCCTTTAATCAGTCTTTACCACTTTCTCACCTCAGCTTGCTCCTGGAACCTTAATGCCCTCCTCTTGAACTTGCCCTTAGTTTAAGACCTGCTGTAGTCTCTTGATTTCCTTGGCCCCTTTCTGATCCTTAGCAGCGTGTCCTCTAGAGGGCACCCTCATCTTTCCAGGAGCTTCCCAGGATCCAGATGCCCCTGCCCTGTGTGGGCACCAGAGATATGGCCCTGTGCCTGTGTCCCTAAAGGTCCTGTCACTCAGGACCTTTGTGTGAGAGCAACTGAGGTGATATTACCCTCCCCTACATTTTTTGGAACATAAAAATATGTACAAACCTTGTAGAGTAAAATTTCTTAATGCATGTGAACATTTAAAAAATACATTTTTTTGCCTCCCAAACTTTACTGGGAAAAATTTATTACAGTTCCAGTCATAAAAAATGACACCTAATCAAGGTTATTCACTGTATTGTTTGTTTAACAGCAAAATATGGGGAATAACCTAGACTTTCACCAGCACAATGCTATTTAAAGAGGTTACCTTATATCTACACAATAGAATATGATGCAGCTACATAAAAAGTACAGAATCTTTCAGCTATTCATATGGAAACACCTCCACATTGTATTTTAATTATAGCATCTAAACATCACAGAATGATATGCAGGTTTGGTACTAGATCTGATGTTAGAACATTACTTTTAGTGTTTTTTTTTTTTTTTTTTTTTTTAATTTAAAAAGAGTGTCTCACTCTCATACCCAGGCTGAAGTACAGTGGCAAGATCATAATTGACTGCAGCCTCAACCTTGTGAGCTCAAGCGATCCTCCTGCCTCAGCCTCCTGAGTAGCTGGAATCACAGGCACGTGCTACCATGCCTAGCTAAGT